GGCTTCGTCTCGTGGACTAACGGCAAGAACAGAGCCTCACATGCCACGTTCCTCTACCCAGTTCAGGATGGTTCTGGAGGATTCCTGGGCAGATCCAGCTCCAGGCAGGGGGGGCCAGGGCTGGGGGGCAGGCAGGAGTGTGGCCCCATCTCTGGGGCGAGGCTGGCATCAGTACCGCCCAGCCCCTCAGGACAAAGGACTGTCCCCAGTCTGTCCCCTCAGGGCCAAGTCAGCTCTACAAGCCATTCTGGTGGCCAGAAGGGGTCGCCAAGGCCGAGCCCCTCAAACAGTGTCCTTCCCTGCAGACTCACACGTGTGACGCATCCTGGCTGTGGCTCGTTGCCACGGCGGGGGGGTGTTTGCAGCGGGTATAAGGTTTGCAGAGGGGTGAAAGGCGTTGGCACCTGTGAGGGGCGCCGTCACTCCAGAACTGTGTCTGTGGCGCTCTCTCACCCTCGCGGCACAAAGGGTCCCTTGCGTTTCTATGGTGCATCAGTAAATGTGCACAGCAGACTGGCGGGCTGCTTCATAACTTCCCGCCCTGACATAGAACCTGGAAAGATGAAGAAAGCGACTTTGAAGAGCTTCGAGTGCTCTCCAGCTGCTGCTGGGAGCCCTGGGCGGCCGCGGGTGGGGCAGCCCCGCGCAGGAGTGACAGCCCGTCAGAGGGGAGGCATCTGTCTCCTTTTTCCCGGTTTCTAACCTGAAGCTAATGGGTTTCCTGCTCCTCCTCTGGATGGTGGCTGTCATTCTTGAAGGATCCATAGGTGCCACACTTCATTATTCTAGGTAGGTAGTGATTTTCCGGAAGGTGACGAGCCCTCGGTTGGTACCATCTTTCCAGAGCAGCCGTTTGCACAGCTTCTACCTTCAACGATGTTTTTCTCCTGGGTCAGAAGCGGCTGCATTTATGCCATGTGGACCTTGACTTGGGGCGACCTCCACAGAGGCCTGCTGTAGGCCTCCTGTCTGAGCTGCCCTGGCCCAGCAGGCCCCTCGCTGGCCAGAGCGTGTCTGCTTCCCGTCCCGAGCAGGCAGACCCCAGAGAGGCAGCCGGGGCCCCTCACCCCCGCACTGTTCGCCTCGAGGCGTCATGCCCTTGGGCCACCCCCCGTCACCAGGCACAGGTCAGGCCTCTTGGTGCTGGGTTCTCTGGATGTTTAGCAGAAGAGCATCTTCATTCTCCACGTGTCCCTAAGTAGGGAAGAAAGGTAAGCACCACCTGTACATTGGTTTTATTTAGAGAGCAGGTGCCCTGAGCTGAGCCAGAGGCACAAAAAGTGGGGCCGAGAGATTGAGGCCCTGTGCTTCTAAATGCGCTGAGGGTCCAAATTCAGCACGTTTTATGGGGTCTTTCCTCAGGCTTCCCCTGCAGCGGCCTGGCAGACACGGGCCATGTGTCACATGCCCTTCCGTTTTAAATGCTAGTTCAAAAGCACAAGCCAGGAGAGCGGCCCCCCTCTGACCACACGAGCTGCCCACAGGCTGCAGGGCTCTGGGCTGTGGCCACTGCCGACCTGGAGGACCTGGACAGTGGTGGCTGGCCCTGAGCTCTGGTCAGTGCTGTGTCGAGGTTCACTGTCCCATCTGCACCAGCTGGGGTGACCCTGCAGCCTCCCCAAGTGCGGCCTGTCCCCGGCCCCAATGCCTGTTGGGACATCGCTGAAGGCAGTGAGCACGCAGCTCCTCAGAAGGGCAAATGTCGCTTGGGAGCTGCCTGCCACCTGTTCCGGCGGTCACTGTCCAAGCGTCAGGGTCAAGAGTGCCGACCCCACATCCCTCAACTGGAGGACTCCCCCGCCCCACTTCACATGGAAGCCTCCCAAACGTGGCCTGTTCACCACTTGCCTACATAATTGGAAATAAGCCGGTGGCCACAGAAGTGACAGTCCAGAAACAGGCAGCTGCATGGACCTCAGGCTTCGTGGCTTCCTAGTGGATGTTAGCTAACCATCACCCCAAAGCCAGTGGCGGGACCAAACATCAGCAGCATCCCTGAGAAACATTCAGTGGGGCAGAGCCTTCTAGGGCCACTGTGGAAGTGAACATTTGTTTTTAAAGATTTTATTTATGGGGCGCCTGGGTGGCTCAGTCGTTAAGCGTCTGCCTTCGGCTCAGGTCATGATCCCAGGGTCCTGGGATGGAGCCCCGCATCGGGCTCCCTGCTCAGCGGGAAGCCTGCTTCTCCCTCTCCCACTCCTCCTGCTTGTATTCTTGTTCTATCTCTCTCTCTCAAATAAATTAAAAAAAAAAAAAAGATTTTATTAGAGAGCCGGGGGAGGAAGAGAGGAAGAGACAGAAACACGGATCGCGGAGCCCAGCACAGGGCTTAATCCCACAACCGTGAGATCATAACCTGAGCCGAAGTCAAGAGTCAGATGCTCAACCAACTGAGCCACGCAGGCGCCCCCTGAAATTGAGTAGGCGTCTGCACACCCATGAAGGAGCCAGTTTGCTATCTCCCCTCCAGAAAAGGATCTGAGCACAGGTTGAAAAGGCCCAGGCGCCCTCCTAAGTGGGACTTCTAACTGGTAGGAGGCCGCGGTGGGATCGGCCAGTTGTGTTCAGGTCAGCGCTTGCAGTTGTGGGCTGCGGGAAGCCAGCCGGCGGTGCCCTGCGCATCCGTCTTCTGGGGACGCCCGCCCACCACACTGGAGGACAGTGGTGGTCCTGGTGCCGCAGCACAGCTGTTCCGACGATGTCGGCGAGTGCTCACAGCCCAGGGGCCAGCAGCCAGTGACACGATGGCTCCAGCCAGATGGGTGGGGGGTCGGTGAGGGGCATAGGTGGCTCCGCTCTCCCCGAGCACCCCAGCAGGGTGAAGAAGGTTCCAGTAGGTTCACAGGAGGGTAGCTGACCCTCTGCGGGTCCATGTGAGTCCCTGAGGTGGTGCTGTGTCCCTTGCCCGCCCCATCACCTGCTTGCCGGCACTTAGATGGGTCTCTGGGCTCTGCCATTTGCACATCACTTTGATTGGTGTCACTCAAACTGCATATTAAAATTCTGCTCGTCACATCTGTGCAAAGTGATGTGGCAATTAGAGAAGGCGGGCCTGAGCTCTGGGGAATGCTCTGCACCCACGTGAGCATCTCAAAGTCTATGAGGGGTTTCCAGTGAGTGCAGGCAGGGCCAGCTCTGCACGTCAGGGCTGAGCGAGTGTCCCTGTGCCCGCAGTGTTCAGGGCGGATGCCCCACCTGCCTGTCTCTGCGGCTTGCCTGGTTCTGCCCAGAATGCCCCGCGCCTGCCGGCCCACCCGTGCTGCTGCCCCATGGCCCAGGGCCTCCCGGCTCCGACACGTTCTCAGCGCGTGGGCAGAGGGACTGGATCGGGTGGTCAGTCTGAGAGGTTCTCGGTCAAAAAGTGGAGGTGTCCACAGAGAAGCACGCCGCAGTTACCAGTCACTTCCATGCTCTGTAGCACCCCTGAGGCATGAAGGCACATATTATAAAACACACCCCAAGTGAAATGAGTCCAAATTTGATGACAGTTATCACTCAAGATAAAACTAGAGAAACTGTCATATGAGGAACAAAGTCTGTTTTTTCCTGGTTGAGACAAGAAAGGGAGTTTGAAGTAAGTTGTAAAGCAAAGGTCTTGCATCGATGTGAACGAGAAGAGAAACTTGACCCAAGGTATGCAGTTGGTCTGCGTCTGGAATCTCCAAAAACAGACTAACTGCTGATACCTCCTGTTTTTTTCCTTCTGGGAGTTTTGACAGAAGTCGGGCTTCCCAGCTCTGGCTCAGGACAGGTGGACGCGATGGGGCTGGCCTGAGCGCACGTGGGCATCCCACACACTGAGTCCCCACAGAGGGGTGCCACCAGGGCCCCCTTCCCGGCTGCAGCCCCCACCTCATATCCCCTCTCCTGAGGGCACCCCTCCCCAGCACCATCCAAGCTTCTTTCTGCTTCTGGAATCCTCCCTGGACGGATGCAGTGTGCAGGCTGGTGGCCCCAGCGTCCCCAGCACAGGCGCACGTGGCTCAGCAGAGGCAGCGAGCCTCGGAGACGCCCCACTGGCCACCTCGCCCATCAGCCCTGGTGCCGGGCACCGCCTCACAACAAGCTGACCTCTCCCACAGAGGAGCTGATTGGAACTGGGGCTTCAGAAATCCCCAGAACACAAGAGAGGGTTCCCCCCATTTTATTATGAAAAATGTCAAACTACAGAAAGTTTCAAATAGGGGCACAGTGAAACCCATAAACCCACCACCAAGGTTGCACTAGGCGTCTGCTTCACCCCATCCCTCGTCCTAACCTTCTCTGCATCTCAAAGCAAGTTGCAGACCCCAAGAGCTGTCCATCCAGCCCTAAACACTTGGGTTTGTCTGTTGTCTGTTGTTTTGTTTTAGGAAGAAATTCACAAACCGTGCAATGCACAGATCTTCAGGTGCCTCTGATGAGTCTCGGCCCAGGCACCCCCTGTCCCTCACCCCCACTGGGTATCACCCTGGCATCCCTGGCAGCTGGGTTCCCATTTCTTTTTCCTCTATCAGTTTTGCTCATTCTAGAACCTTCTGTGAATGAAACCATAGTGCGTGGACCCTTGTGTAAAGCATCTTTGATGCTGATAAAGTTTTTGATCAGAATGAGATTCAAGGGAACACGTGCAGCATGCAGAAAGGCCAAGTGCCAGTAGCCTGAAGCCTGTTTCAGGTCCCAGCTCCGGGAGTGTCTGTGAGAACACGGAGCCCTTGTCACTGCCGTGCGTGTACTGCTCACTGCATTTCTCAGCGGGGCTCCCAGCGCGCACCCTGACCTCCTGCGGTGGAGCTGCAGCCCCTGACGCCTGGCCCTGCGTCTCCCTCTGGCTTCCTCCTCACCGAGTGCAGACCGGGGCCGGAGTCCGCTCTGTGTTCAGCCTTCATGTCAGGTCGTCACACCACCTGTCCTAGTTTAGGGACCATTTAAGTTCAATGGAGTTTGGTGGAACTGCTTCTTTGGAGAATGTCCGGCTGTTGCTAACACGGCCCTTTGTGTTCTTACTGTCATCATTCCAGGATGGGAGTCCCAGCTTCTGGAAACAGGATTCCTGGGGATCTTCCTGTGCCCTCTTTGGACTCTGTCTCGATTGCCCACGGGGACGCCCCCGTCCCAGATCGTTCTGTGGGGCTTTCGGTGGCTGATTTTCAGAATCATGCTTGGAGCGGTAAGTAGAACTTTTATTTGCTATGTTTCAGGGAAATGCATTGCAAAGGAGCCGCCCCTTGCTGCCCTGTTGGCTGGGCTGTGCCTGCTGGGCCCCTCCTGCTGCTTTCTGAGTTCTGTGGCCTGTTTTTGCGCCCCTGAAACGCCCCTGGCCCTCCAGCTCTTTGCACAAGCACTTTCTGTGGGACGCATCATGACTCTGAGCCCGTTCCATGAAGAGACTCACAGGAAAAGCCCCTCGGCAGCTGCACCTTTCTCCACCAGCCCTCCTGGTGGTTTCTGGAACATAGGAAATGTTTTGCGTGGCTTAAATCAGCAAGGGCAGGAACAGGTCAAGAAGTGTTACAGGATTTTTGTCCCTTCAGTGCCTGTGGTTCTTGGTCATGTCGCTTCGAAGAACAAAGAGGTGGACCAGACGAAGAGTGGTGGGCAGCAAAGCGAAGTTATTGAACAAAAGTAGAAAGCTGCCGGAAGGGGAGGGGACTGGGGACTGAGAGGGTTGCCCTCTGAACTTCCAATGAAGGGGTTTTTATAAACTCTTTCGAGGAACTATCTTAAGCATCCTGAGATTGGGCCCCTGTGGATTGGCCGCTAAGGTGTGCCAGTCGGGGCTTTGATCATGCACCCATCTCCCTATCAGGTTTTGTTCACATGTTGGTGGTCTTATGACTGACATTTGGAGGTGAAGTGATAGTGACCAATGTTTTAAATCAGCAAGGGCAGGAACAGGTCAGGAAGTGTTACAGGATTTTTGTCCCTTCAGTGCCCGTGGTTCTTGGTCAAGATGTCCTGCAGAGCCTGCTAGACAGGATACTTTCGTGGTCTCGTGTGAGCTGTAAAACAGGATGCTAGTGCGGTTTTGTCTTAGCTGTCCCGGCTTTTTTGCTTTCTTGTTGGGGACCCTGGCCCTGACTATGTAAGTGTCCAGTTAACTCCTAACAGAAAGGCATACAGTCCCGTGAGTCTCACCCCAGAGAAGCCACGCCAACTTCCTTCTTTTTCTCTGCCTGCTGTGTCCTCTCTGCAGACGCCTCGCTCGCTGGCTTCGGGGAGTGTCTCCTAAAGGCCAGGTGAGTCGGCGGCTCCCTGCACCCCGGCGCAGCTGGTCGGCGCCAGGTGTTCTCCCGGCTCACGCCCTCTCACCAGGCCCTAGAACCCAGGGTTCCCCCACCGCCAGCTTCCACGGGGCCCTTGCAGGTAGTCATCTGTTTCCATCGCCACCTACCATCATCTTCAAAGTTTTCAGAGACACTCTCTGAATCTTAAAATCAGGAATGACATGCTTCCTCTTGACCTCCAACTAACTAGGCACAGAACTTGGCAAATTGTGTTCACGGTCTCTTTCACTTTTCTCCTTTTGTTAGTAAGATCTGGGGTTTTATCCTGGTCACTAGCTTCTTTTGTACTGGACACCTTGTCATTCAGGTATGTGAACTCTCCCTGGGGGCAGGGGCCAGCACGAGCTCACAGAGAGCTTGCTTCTGCCACACCCGGTCCCCTCCAATCCACATGGCCTGCAGTCTCCCCTGTCCCCTGCAACCCGACGCTGGCTGGCTGTGTGCCCTGCGTCCCCGGCAGGCCCAGGCAGTTCTCCGGGAAGCCGCTCTTCCCTGCTGTGTAATTAGTGAGTACTGTGTGGTGGACTCCCGTGGGATTATGTGGCTGCCCTCGTCAGACGTTCGTACATGGAGTGTGTCCCTCCTTCCCCTCCGCTCTGCCCAGTGCCAGTATACCCCTCTGTGGCTGCCATTCATCTGATGCCCTTGTTCCCCATGTCCGTCTGGCCAGTGGGAGCCTGGCTTGTTGCTGCATTGCCCTCAGATCCTGAGCAGAGCCAGCTCTTAGCTGGCGATGGGTGGTCCTTGAGCAGCACAGGAGTCCCGTGGGTACATACCGCCCCAGCTCCTTTCATACTGCCAGGAGCCCACGCTTATGCGTTTCAGACACCCTTCTGGATGCTGAAGCAGCTTCATCCTGGTGTGATGACCGCCCGCTGTTCGGTTAATGCTGCATCTGAGGCTCTCTGGCCGGGACCTCCGGGGGCACTGGAAGCGGCTGGAGTACAGAAGGTGGGCGCTCCGCCTGGGATGTGGGCACCAGCACGGGAAGCCCCAGGAGCACGCATCTGGCCCTGGTGTGGCCGGCAAGGTGCCCGGCCCTGGGCAGGTGCAGGTGGTTGGAGCAGCCGTGTGGACTTAGCACGTGTCTGGACTTCACCTCAGAGGGCGCATTCTCCAGACTCCGCATCCACGTAGCGAGAAAGACAGGAGTCCTGATCTTCACCATTCCTCTTCCTCAAACACTGAAGTTATTAGCTGTGTCTGGTCACGTTAGTAGCAGGCTGTGGTTCCATGTCCGTCTGTGACTTCACTTTGGATTTTCTGTCCTCGGCTACATTTAGAAATCATAACGTGCGCAGTGTTCCCACCACTCCCTGGGGACCCGCCTGGGACAGCAGGTTCGTCGGGTAGAGTGGAAAGGGCCCCCACGGAGCGCAGCCAGCGTAGGGGATCTGGGCGGCAGCGCTGTCAGGCTGCCACGTGTCAGGCTTGTGGCGCCAGGAGGTGAGCGGCCCCCACGGTGCCTGACAGCACTGCCGAGCACCTTTCATGGCATTTTGATGGACTGTTCGCACCAGCTGGATAAAAATTATCAGGTGCACTAAAAGGTGTAATTACTCGATTCTGTCTGTGTGTTGGATGCTGCTCACCCCCCTTCGCTGGAAAGCAGGAAGGCAGAGCGGGCTTGGTCAAGGAGAGCGGCAGCTACACAGTGCCTGTCACCTCCGCACGGACTCAGAAGCTGCAGTGTCTGTGTTTTCTGCAGCATCTCCAGTGTGCTGAGAGGCTGGGGGCTCTTCCAGGGCTGTGCACCCACTGCCTCCGTGCTCCTGCGGTGGGTCAGTGCGGCCTCCCTGTCCCCAGGGCTCCTACGTGTTCATGCTGCGCCGGGCCGTGAAGGAGTGGTGGCAGCGGGCTGCCCTGCACTCTGTGAATAGCTGGAAACTGGACCCAGTGCGCTGTGCAGCCCCCGTCACACTGGACAGCAGACAGTGGGGCTTGGGGGGAAACACGGCAGGTGCCTGGCTGTCTGCTCTGCGCCTCGCATCCTGCTGGAATTCGGGGGGCAAGGTACCAAGAGGAGGGCCCCGGGCACAGAAGGAGCCCCGAGGAGGACACGGCACCCCTGCTGTTGCGGACCTGCCCCAACACAGAGCTCTGATCTAATCGTGAGAAACGAACACCACGCAAACCCCTACTGAAGGACATTCTTCAAATTTACTGACCAATATTCTCCAGGACCAAAGCCATGGAGTGCAGTTAAAGACTGAGGCCCGGTCTGCCCAGGGAACACAGCCATTAGATGTGGAGCCCTGGGCCATCCTGGCACAGGAGGAGGACGTCCATGGGAAAACTGGTGAGATCGGGTGCGGTAGGTAAGGTAGGTTCACAGTGTGGACCTGAGCATGACAGGTGCGCGGGGCTCCGCGCTGTGTGTACAGCTTTCCCAGGTGCTGGGATGTTTTTACAATACAAAGTTAAACCCCTTCATACTTGGCATGTATAAAGGAGGCAGTTAGAGGAGATGGTGCAGTTCTTTCAGATGTGAATTACCAGCACTGACAGAAGAAACAGAAAATCTGATAAGTTTTAGGAATTGAGCACCTTTCCAACTGAGAAAACCCCAGGCCCAGAAATCCTCACTGATGAGCAGTTTTATAAACATTTACGGAAGGAACAGTGTGAACCCTGCACACACGGATCCTAAAAACAGAGAGGAAAGCCTTTCCAGCTCATGTTTCTGAGACCAGGGAGGACAAGGACGTTTCAAGAAAAGAACATTCTAGAGCACTATTCTTCAAGAGCACCAACAACTTCTTGAACTATTAGCAAACGAAGCCCACAGCACCTGAGCGGCATGAGGCATTTAAACCGAGTGGGCTTTGCCCAGGATGCAGGACTGAGTGGACAGAAATGAACCGATGCAGTTCAGTGAATTACCGGATACAGGGGAGAGCTAAAATGCTGCGATCATCTTAACTAATGGAGGGAAAGCATGTGTTAACTGGTTCACAGTTAACGAAACATCTTGTGGCACACAAGGAACAGGAGGCTTCTTCAAGCTGATACATAAACCACCCACGTCTACACCGTTCTTACCTGCAGGGGACTGCACATTTCTGCCACGAGGTGGGGAGCACGCAGGGGCATCCACCTTCATCACATCTGCTTGACATTGTGCTGGAGATCATGGCTTGTGCAGAAAAGCAAGAAAAAGTAACAAAAGCCCTGAACATGGGAAGAAGTAAAAGCACCTGTCTTCAAGGTGAGGAGATCACGTATGTGGAGGGTCACAGGGTCCTCAGGAGGAATGCATGCAGTTACCCAGGGCCAGGAGTCAACAGACCATGCACAGAAATCCATGCTATTTCCAGATGCTAGCGAAAGCTGTCAGAAAACGAAATGTTAGGCAGTCGCAGTCGTGCTCTCCCGAGTTCCTGTGTCCCTGGCCACACCGCCCAGATGGCCTCTCAGAACCACGACCCAGCCGCCGCCGGCAGAGGAGCCAGGCCCAGCGGGGGTGCCACCCGGGCCCCGTGGACAAGAGGCTACGGCAGGAGCCAGTGCCCTCATGCTGTCTTATGACAGAGGAATCTCTGCCTTCCCTCAGTCAGACCTTTCCAAATGGGTGGGGGCCACCATGGAGATCTGAGGTAGAAGCTCTCCCCGGGACTCCCCAGTGGCTCCCTACAACGCACCCACACCCTGCTACCACCCCAGCACAGACTCCCGGGGTAACATCTGCCCAGGCACCCTGAAGGACAAGGGGTCCGCCCAGGGTGACGTCAGGGCCATCCCGGTGTCCATCCAGAGCCTGCGAAGAGAAACCAACACTGAAGGCCCTTTGCACACACATGCTGCCGAGCTCTGGAAAAACCCACAGCCTTTAAGAAGTATCTGCAAAAAGCCTCAAAGCAGGTCTCCAGCCAGGAACCCTGAC